CGCACGCACCCCACGCCCTCGCCCTCCAAGGAGCCCTCCGCGGAGTCTCTGCGCTCCGCCGCCGACCTGCTGCCTCACTCCCGCATCGCCTGCCTCTACTTGCTAATATTAACAAACATCTTATACATTACATGACCAATGTACGCACTTGAGAGACGACTTCCCAAATTTTACAATTTTACAAGTGTTTAATAGTATGATTAATTTCTTGTGAATATAGAATTTTTAGTTTGCGAATATATTTATTTATTATTGTAATCGAATCGATGTTTTATTACTGCAATAAATATCATCACCAGTTCACGTCCCCATTGAGTGAGTCGGAGCCTACATAAAGTAAGAGGTGATTAGTTTTAAATCTAGGCCACGCTGGCCCATTGCGGGTTGACTTCACACATATCTTACAATTTCCTCTCAGAAAAGTACAGGTTCCATCAGGATACCTTCTCCGTAAAACTAAGAACATCGGATGGATGTTCTTAGTTTTACGATGAACAACCGGTTCCCTTTTTAACGCTTGTATAGTTAGATACTCTACAATCCATAATTAAAAACTACAACTTGTTTTGTCAGTGGATCATAGTGTTTTCCAAATGTTTTAATCCCAAATGTTTTTATTCATGGATGTCCTACTAAAGGATTGAGCTCATTTCGCAAAATTGAAGCCGAGCGAGACCTCAATAACTGTACCTTTTATCCCTCTCTGGCGATGGTGACTGTGTTGAAATATGATTTAAGGATAATAATTATGAAAGTCTTGTTTTTGTTTTCTAACATCAGAAGATTTTTGCTTCAGATGGATTTTAATATATCATTGTTATCATTAATGTATTTACCAAAAACAATACAAAATACATAATTAAAATATCAGACATTGCTAAATAAAACAGTCTTATGGAGGTAATATCTTATATCTTCTTCTTCTTCTGAGGCACTACAGCCGCGTGTGGGCCTGGGCCTGGTCCAGTAAACTTCTCCACTTCTGTCTATTTTGGGCCTTTTGCTTCCAGCCCTTGACGCCGATGTTCTTAAGATCGCGTTCGACTTCGTCTAGCCATCTAAGTTTCGGCCTACCACGCGCTCTACGTCCATCCGGCTTATTTTCCAACAGGCGTTTAGGAACTCTGCAATCATCCATGCGGGCAACATGTCCTGCCCAGCGCAGTCGTCCAATTTTGATGACCTTGTTGATGTTTGGCTCTTTATACATTTGGTACAGCTCGTGGTTGTATCGTGATCGCCATTGATCACCAATGAGAACAGCACCATAAATGCGACGCAGTATCTTACGCTCAAACACTTGTAAGCGTTCCTCATCTATCTTATATCTTAAATCTGAAATAAAAAAAAGTTATTTTTATAGAGAAAAGAATAAATAAATGCATAGGTGTTTAATGTATTTGTTCCTTAACTAGGATTGAATGGTCATGCATGGTCACTGTAATTCTTCACCAAACAAATTATGTTTAAAACTATTGCCTGTGAAAATATAACACACAATCAGTATAATACTCGCTTCGATAAGCCTCCGCGTCCAAGACACCAATTCTTCCTATTTTAATTAAGATTCTTCAAAAATATTACGGAATTAAAAAGACTCCGCCATTAACTTACGAGTCGGGATGTCATGTGGGGTTGTCAGTTCAGATGTCCGTATTTCAACAAATAAAAGACAACCTTTTCGCCAATCGCAAAACTGTTAATAAGGTTTTGCACGTAGCATCAATTAATATTTCTTTAAAATGTCGGTAATAAATTATTTTTAATTTTTAGAAACATTTTAAAAGTTTTGTTTTTACTTCATTACATTATATCAATCACTTATTTTCCTACAAACAACGAAAGGATTGTTATCTGGCAACTCTAGGTCACTGTTAGAAAGGGACACAGCGGACACTCTAGTCCTCTCACTCGGTTTCAATTTTTTTTTAGCGTGCAACAAGACTCTTACGCCCTTAGCATAAGGTTTTATATTCCTTATTTCCACTGCAAGATGTACAGATAGAACTCATTCCTGTTGTACGAATTACTTCCATGGCAAAAGCAAAAATTATTTTATAATCTGTATCGAGATTTTGACAGATTTGTTGGCAATTGACATACCAAGACAATGACAATGACATAAATAATTTGATTTGTGTTGTGGATACAAATATTCTTTGTTTATTAATCGGTATTTTCAAACTCCGTTTAAATGGAAGTAGTTCAAGTTATAACTCAGGACTACGTAAATGTCCACATCACAAAGTCTGATAGTGAGGATGCGCCGCCGATTGAAAGACGGTTCAAGAAAGAGATCTCCGTGCTTGACTTTAAGGTTAGCATGATTCATTTTACTGTTTTTTTATTTATTTATTCTTATTCGTATACCTTTGTTAAAATCGTTAGGGAATCGTTTAAATTCGAACATTTACTATTAACAATCTTAACAAAATAATTAATTGCAACTTCGTCTATGATTATATACCGGCAAAAAAGATATAAACGTACGTAAATAGTTCATCGAAATTGTAATAATTTAAGTTGAAATATAATCAGATACGATACAATTCAAATCAAATAAACAGATTTTGTTTAATGCCATTAGACCAGTCTCTATCATCTACTCTACATCTTTTTGAACCCTTACTGGTAATTATTGTTCTATTCTACTGAATAAATATACTTACAAAGTTTATTAGCAATAGTTAATCAAGTATGTACTATAATTGATATGTAAATTATTTTTTTAATCATTCAAAAACAACTTTATTGTTTTATTTTCTGCAGACAAAACTAGAGTTGGTAACCGGAGGTTCAGCACCTACAATGAAGTTGAAGGTATTTGATAAGAAGAACAACTTTGTGTGTGACATTGACAATGACAATGCCCTCCTCGGGTCATACCCCATTGATGATGGTGCTAGGATACATGTCATAGACAACTTTACATTGATCAAAGATTTTACAACCAGTGATAGTGCTGAAAGGTTTGTCTCTCAGAGGCTTTTCTTTATTTTTTGTATAGTTTCATTATCAACTATCCATAAAAGAGATAAGAATAAGTTTAGTATTTAACATTTCATAATAATAATAATGTCACAAAACTGCTTTAGTATAGTTTTATGTTACTGAGTTACTAGATGATATCCATTAATTATAATCCAATAACAATGGCAATATGTACTTTTCTTTTTGACAGAGGAGGGGATGCACAGGTAGAAATTTTTTTTTAAATATCTTTCTGTGCACCGCTCATCTCTAGATAGAATATAGGATATTTCTGCTATTGTAGTTGTCTATACACAGAGATTGCTTCATTATTTCGGTGAATACCAGTGGACATTTTGACACATTTTAGGTTCCAACTTTCCGAAGAAGATTATGAAAAGAAGGGAGACACGCTGCGCTCATTCCTGCAGCGCAACAAACTGGGCAAGTACAATGAGGAGGAGATGAACAAACTGAAGGAGCAGCAGCAGAAAGAGCTTGAAGAGGAAGCCAAGTATGTTTAAGCTTAAGTAATCATAGCACTTACTATTATCTTAACATCTTAGCACGAATGGGCCGGCACGCCCGGTGTAACACCACGACCACGCAGAAGACAGGCGCGAAATGGAAGCAATTACGTGTTTCGTCTGATGAGTGTGGTGCCGAAGGCTTAATTTAAGTGAATTTAAGAGGATGGGAAGGGAAAGTGGATTTAACGGAGGAGGAGATACGTAGGAAGGGAAAAATATCTCTTTATGTGCATCTCCTCCTCTGTTGGATAAGGGTAGGTAACGCATTTGCAATGGCGGATGTCTATGGGCAGCGGTTGCTTCGCCATTTTGGCGGATTCAGGTGGCCGCTTGCTCGTTTGCCACCTTTTGTTATAAAAAAAAAATGTTTTGATGGATTGATGGATGTTTGAGTTGTGAGAGTTTATAGTTTAAACTGCTGAATGGATTTTAATTAAATTTAGCATAGATGTAGGGGATAGTCTGAAAGTACATACATACATACTTTTGTTATTTTTAATTCCTTCCAGATAGTTGCTGTAGAAATCTAGTAATATGAATATTTCTAGTTGCACATAAATTTAATTAATAAATTGGTAATGTCATTTAGTTTGCAAACATTTAAATGTTTCGATTAATTTGTTATATTGGTTTCTTATATCTTATGTGAACTGGTTTCGTGTCCAGTCTAGCGAGCAAGGTGTTGGTGGGTGCGCGGTGCGAGGTGCGCGCGCCGCGGCAGCCGGCTCGGCGCGCCACTGTCCGCTACAACGGCCCGCTGGCCGGCGCACGCGGGCTTTGGATAGGAGTCCAGTATGATGAACCTCTCGGCAAGAATGATGGAGAGTCAGTACCTAACTTAGCTTACTAGTTACAAAACAAAATAACTATGCTAACCTTTGCAGAGGAATACAAAAAAAAATCAACTTTAACTAAACTATGGCACTGTTATGCGATTGTCGATTGTTTCGCAGCAAATTCAACTGTTTATGCACAACTAAAAATAGAGTAGTGTACGCACCTCCATATAAGCTTATAGGAATTCAAGCACAAACTAACAGACTAAAGAGTTGTGCGATAATTTAGTCGAAGGTGTGCGCCCTCTGATATAAGAAAGTGAATTAAATTTATGCCCTTTTGTGTCATAAAAACAAATTTACTTAATCTTACTTGATTTAAAATTATACATTAAAATCAATCAAGTGTTGCAAGTGTTTAAATAATAATATACAGTCGCGGAAATCATATTGGTACATGGCGGGATTCGAACCCAAGACCTGTAGATTACAAGTCAAGAGCCTTAACCACTGAGCCACTGACGCTCTTAATAATTTACGTAATAATTTACATACATAAAAATATATATTTTCAGGGTAAACGGTCAGAGATACTTCACATGTCCACCAAACTATGGCGGCTTCGTGAAGCCAGTGTATGTAACAGTTGGGGACTTCCCCGAAGAAAAATATGATTTGGAGGACGAAATATAAGCGACCCCACATATCGTTGCTGCTTTAATGCGTACAACTAACCAGTCATAGATTTTATATGCTTTATTCTTTTATATACCTTAATTGGTATTATCAGGTGCATTATATAATTAACATATGCACTTTATTGTATATGTATGGATGATAATACTGGTTTAGTGTCCATTTTCACTGTTAAAACACTTGTAATAAAACAGATATGTTATTGTACAGGTTTTTTGACAGTGTAAATATGACATATAGCGTAACTAAACGCTTGCTGGCAGGCTGAAGTATTAGACTTTTTTGAACTAAAGAAAGAGGTAAAAATATTGAGGAATATAATGATTTGATCAAATATTAAAGACTGAAGCAATATCACTTGCTTTTTAAAATTAACTCTTATGAAAGCGAGTTTTTGGTCTCAATTACTTTATCTAAAACAATTTTTGACAAAAAATACTCTGTGCATAGCGTTTGTTATTAATTTTTATTTTTGTATAAGTAAAAATCATGGGTAACTAAAATATATTAAAGATATGGTCAAATCTTTTTTGTTTTTTGAGGGAATGATTGTCAAATTACTATTGAAAATAGGAATTAAAACTTTTTTGATGTTTCTCAAATGATTAATGTAAATTGTGATAGGGTTTTGAAAATTTTTTACTGAAGTTGTGGAAATAGTGTGTTTAAATTTATTTTAGATTAAGTTTTGATGAAAATATTTTATTTAAATATTATTTATAAGTTCGTAAAATCATGTTTGCATTTGAAATACATTGATTGTAACATTCCAATGATTCGACAGAAATTGTAATGTTTTCTTACAACACAGCTTTAAAGAAAAGAATGTAATTATTTGCTTGTATCATTTGGATTTTTCATAATAAAATTATTTAACAAAATTGTTATTTTATTTCTCTACTTCTCCTTTTACAAATATGATAGGGTGGATTAGACAGTATCCGTCCAGGGGGGGTTATAGCCCACTTAAGACAAAACTTTTTCTTACTAATCAACATTAGTTAAATGTGGAGGGTTACACCGATAGAGGTGGACCTTGAAGGAGATGGATGGATTGTGTAAAAGGTTGCATCAAGAAGGGGTGATGATGACGGATGATAGTTATTTGGAGGAAGAAAACCCGGTGCGCCGACCTTACGAGGGTAGGATAAGGTAGGGGAGATGATGACTTTTTCTTACTAATCACATATTTTGAATTTTCCTATCTATTTCATTAACATTTTGTACGAGTTCAGAATAAAAATAAAACTCATATTTCGTCAGAAAACTTTATCAGTATTTAAAACTTCCTCCTCTTCAGTATATCCGGTCTCCAGTTGACGGGATGCGTCTCCTCGGAGGCGGTGTCGTCCTCCTTGTATATCTTGATGGTCTTGTCTGCCTCCGTGGTGATCAGTCGGGAACCCGACTGGTCGAATGTCATCGAGAATATGCCCGCCTCTGAGTCCATCGACCCGGGTTGTACTGGAGCCTGAATAATATATTTGTTTTTAGTTAATAAGTTTTGCTAAAGGGGGGCAGCTACCCCGACTCTTCTAGAAAGTAAATTCTTAGAGATCATACATAGGATATCTCAAAAAGACTATTCAGCTATTTAACCTTTAAATGCGCTCTATTAAATAAATAAACTAGCTTTCGCCCTCAACTCCGCCCGTGTGGAGTTAAAAAAAACAAAAGGCAGTATAGCCAATGTGTACTTCCAGACTATCCTCTACGTCTATACCAAATTTCATCGAGATCCGTTCAGCCGTTTATGCTGCAAACTCTAACAAACATCCATTCATCTAAACTATCGCATTTATAATATTAGTAAGATTATAAATTTGAATACTAGATTTTTTTATTTTTCCTTTAATATAATATCGATTTTGCATTAAACATTATTTTCTTGGAAGAAAAAATGGAGAAAAAATTAGGCCACATCTTGATAAAAAGTTTTTAAACTCTTTGCGTGTGATGTATCCTTTTTCAAAGAAAATGGACGACAATTTTTGTAAATAATTAATGGAGGAAGACGCATAGTTAAAATAACACTAATTTTATCCTTAACGTCACACTGACCTGTAACCGCTGGAAGTTGTACCCCGTCCTCCAGTCCCACAGGAACATGGTGCCGTTGTCCCCACCGCTGACCAGCACCCCCTCGGAGTTGACAGCCATGCAGTTCACTATCGCGTTGTGTCCGGACAGGTTCTGTATGAACTTGCCTTCCGGACACTTCCATTGTTTGATATTGTCCGGGGAGGCGGACGCGAACGTGTACTGTGTGGGATGTACGACGACAGAACGCACAGATTTCTTGTGATTAGTGAGTGTGCACATTGATTTCCCCGCTGCGAGGTCCCATAAACGTATGGTGGAGTCATGTGAGCCGGTTATTATCTGAAAATTCAACATGAAATTGAAAAGAATCTCGAAAAATATTGAATTATGATATGGCTCGTATTTTTAAATTCGGACAGATAGTTGATTTAGTATTGTTATATGATGTGTTTCATAGGTTTGGATATATTGTTGATAGAAGCATATTTGACTAATTTTGAAAAGAAAAAAAAAACATAATTATTCAAAAAATTTTAATTTTTGCATAATGCATATAAGGAGGAGAAGGGGTCAAAATTACAATTTTTGACATTGACAAATGCCCCTCATAACGGGAATACAACAGATTTCAGTTTTTTTTATGAAACTAGTTCTTGACTACAATCCCACCAATGTTAAGTGGTAATGTGGCCAAAGGATGGTACATGCAGCTTCTAATATACAGGGGTAAGAAACAAGGTAATATTTGTAAGTGGGACTCCGCGGATTTCCGCGATTGTACATATTGAAATAAATGTATGAAGTGTAGTGTTTTTTAATTCCGCCACAACAAAGCTCTACCAATGTTCTAAAGGTGTGGAGAAAGACAGAAGAAACCGTTTCACACATCATACAACACTACCCAGTAGTGACTGAAAACAGGGCAAGGTATCTTGGTTTGCTGAAATTGCTCCAGGAGATCACCAGCAACATAAAGGGTTTGCTGGGTTCTTCGGAGAGCTGGATTGACTGGAGTAATCCATGTCCTATTCTCACGCAAAATACGTGGTAGGTGTAGAGTTGTGGAAACCGTAGCCCCCACTACTATAACTACTAAAGTGTGGGGTGTGTCTCCGATGTCCAGTGTAAGTGTGTTAAGGCAGTGTGAGCGCACCTGGGGCTCCGCGGCCTGGCAGGCGAGCGCGGCCACAGTGTCGGTGTGTCCGGAGAGCGTGTGCACGTTGGCCTTGGTGCGCACGTCCCAGACGCGCGCGGTGGCGTCGCGGCCCGCCGACACCAGCACGTCGATGGTGGGGTGCAGCCCCAGCGCGTACACCGCCGACAGGTGCCCGTGGTAGTGACGGATCACCTGCCCAAATGGAAACATGCTGTTTTAAAGCCCACTATAACTTATGTGCAAGAATGTACCAGCTCTTGAGCAGTATTTCTTCTTTTTATTGCAATTTCATTTTTGTATTTTGTATTTTTTGTGTTGTCTAACTTTCTGGTTTTCTAGGGTTCATTGGTGCACTAACATGTTTGTAAAATATTTCTATTATTGTTGACCTATCATTGGCTGTACAATTTAACTACCTACTTTGTAATATATAGCTGTTGGTCTTCCTTAAAAACAAATAAATAAATACCACAACCTCAAAGACATAAGGCAAATGGAAGTAATTTCGCATACAAGCACATACAAGCTACCGGGCTCAATTTTGGTCCTATTCAACTTTATACCCTTTACATACAAAGGGGAAGTGAATTTGGTGGGGGATGCGATTGAATATATATCACAATAATTGTGAAATATAGTACTAACTTTATTATATTCCAAATCCCAGCATTTAACTTGTCTGTCCTCACCACAACTGAACAGGTATGGATGTCTTGGTGATACTTCCAGACCTACAAAACACATTGCATTCATAACATATTACAATCATATCTCATATAAATATATGAGTTATTACATACCTCTTACTGTACTGACATGTCCTGTAAGAGACACTTTCAATTTGCCAGTCGCTAAATCCCAAATTTTTATAACTCTGTCTGCAGCACCTGTAAGAAAAGTTTGACTTCATGTTTTCTAATATATTTACTATAATTTTAATAGCAACTAAACAAGTTTTATTATAATCAGCTCACTTTATGTCCCCACAGAGCGGCTCAGGGCCCACTTTGAATATCTTTACACAGTTGTGAAAGGTGCTTTGTTATGTTTTATCTACACAGTAAGACTTTTAGATAAAAGTGCATGTAAATTCAAAAAATACATCAAGGGATTCAAACTCAGGACCTGCAGATTATGTCAAGTTAACCCCCAAGGCCAATTTAAAATTTGTGACATCACTATAAATATGTTGTACATACATATTTCATGACAAAACTATTTAAAGAGTATACCTGTAGCAAACCATTCATTTCCTGGCTCAACTGCAACACATCTCACCCAACCTAAATGTCCCGATATCACTCTGAACAGCTTCCATGGTGCATGCCACTTTGGTCTGGGTGCTGTGGGCGGTCTGCGTGGAACTATGGCTGCAGCACCTGTCCCCAGGAGTCCCTGAGACCCGGGAGCAGCCGGGGCTGTCATTGAGCCTGGGTTGTAAGGTAGCATGGCACCATCTGAACCCAGTGCTGCGGATTCCGCCATATCTGAAATAAATATTAAAGCTTATTAAAATTAGGTCAAAACAGAATTTACAATTTTTTATTAGAGAAAAATAACTATTATGCAAAACAGTTAATACAAACAACAATTTGAGGAACAGTTTTAGAACTTAAGTTCAGTTTTAGATTCATTTTCAGTGCTAAAAAATTCTGTACTGTTAAATTTTTTTGTAATTACAAAGTAGTACCTGTGTCATGTGGTGTTTCAGGTCGGCTGAGGACTTGCTGTTGTTTTTGTGCTTGTGCTTGCTCCACTGCAGACATCACCTGACCATAGCTGTCTCGAGCTTTTACATTTTTCAAAATTTTCTCTCTATAAAGGTAGTTTACATAAATGTTAAAATAGTAAATGTAATCAATAAATATCATGTTAAATACTAGTTATTTTTTAGTACTTACGCTTTTTCATCGATTGGCGGCAGTAAGCTTTGGTTAGACAAAAACATATCATGAGATCTTTTTAACGATCTGAACACAAGCGTATGTACGGAGTGCTTGATTACATCGTCAGCCATTTTTGGTTATAAATTAGTTTCGCATATCACAAATACCACCGCTTAAACTATTTCTCATTTAGTTAAATTAATTACTTAAAGAACTAAACTAGCCCAAATACAAAACAAGAATAAACAAAACGCGCTTAACGTTTTTGTCAAAATTGTATTGGAATGACGTTGACATTTGATAATTTGACAATGACATTTCGTTTTGTAGAACTCATTATCTTTGGATTAAATAGTATATAAAATTATAAAATGTGCTTAGGATAGTTTTTAAACAGGTCTGAAAAACATTTTTTTAAAAGATTTTTTTTTTCTAGATAATTTTTTTAATCTTGTTTATCAATTTATCTTTAGGTTTTTTAGCGTAGCAAAACAAAAAGAAATTCATACAATCTAATTAAAAGGCGATGACTGTAAATGAAAATAAAAACTGTTTGCATTGGTGTATCAATCCTTTATTAGTATAATTAATAGAAAATCATTTCATATAAATTATTACACTAATTACATTTATCGAAAACAAATTACAAATTACCACTAAATTATTCTTTGATACTTCAAAGAATTCACAATATTCTAGAGAACAGGCATACAATTTTTTTCTATATTCGGTTTTTAGCATCATTCGTAAGCATATTTTTTTATTTACATTTACTTATATGATAGACTTTTTTTTTACTACAATCCTTTACATAAACAGAAATCATTTATATTGTCAATTAGCTTTAATAGTACATCATATAAACTTTAATACGTTTCTTCTGATATGGTTTGGTTAATATTTTACTAATGTTGTGTAGGTGAGTGTTTATCTGTATAGATTTATGTATCGTTATACTTTGTAGCTTAAACTACTTTCTTAATTACTCAAGTAAATGGTAAATCCTAATTTTATATATATTACGTTGTTTTAACACATATTTGGTGTTTTTTTTTACAGGTTTTTAGAGTACATTTTTAAACAAAAGCATACGTGTATGTACTTAAATCTAGGCATTATCTGTGCATTTAAGCTATTTATCATTTAAAATATTGTGAGTACTACTTAAACACGAATTTGAAATCACTCATATAGTTTTTGTTTTAGTGTTGTGAACTGTTGCGTGCGAGGTCCTCACACGAGGCGGTCGACGTTGGAGGGGGCGCGGGCGTGCCACTCGTACTCTATATCTGTTGTATCGGCGACGGAGAAGACCGCGCCTTCCTCGCTTCAGATGGCCGACTTCTCAGAGTTGTTGGCGTCACTGACGCGTCTCGAGTGCGGCGCGCGTCGAAGGCTCCTTGGCTGCAGATTCAACGGAGGAAGGTTGGGTCTTTCGATCCTAGTAGGCGAGGAGACAAGCGGTCTCGTTCTACGTAGAGTTTCCATCCCGTTCCTGAAGTACTCCTCGGTTCTATCGGAGTAACTTTCGATGAGAGGTGCCGGGTCTTCGTATTCCACGTTGAAGTGTCTGGTGATGGCGAGGTCTTCAGGTGGTCCGAGCTTGTAAAGCGGGGGTTCCACGCACTCGTAGTGATGGTCTTCTGTGTCGTCGTGTGGGTAGGTGTCGGCGACGAAGTGCCTCGTGCCCCTTGGGGTGAGCGCCGCCCAAAGCACGCGGGAGTCTAGCGCCGCGCTGCCATATAGTGCGTTGGAGCCACTGGCTTTGCCCGTGCCGCTCTTACAGCCACCGCGCACCCTTGAGAATCAACAAAAGACGTGAAATAGACTGATAGAAAAGACTTTATGTAAGAATATATTGATACGTACTCTCTGCACTTGAGCAGGAAGAGGGCGAGCAGCGCTGCGATGCAGAGAACTGCGATACAGCAAGTAATCAGCACTAGGAACCACGTGTCGTCGTACCCCGCTGGCTCTGTGATCACACATACAGCGTTAAATTAGACCTAGTATTAAGAACCTTATCTAAACTTTAGTCCGTTTTGATTGTATAGTAAGAAAGATTGCAGCCTGTGCCCAAAGACATGGTATAAGATTTCCGTGTGGAGAGGCTTCGCCAACCAATGATCATGGCAGCTACCATTAATAGTTTCACTCCAAGAAGTTTTTTAATATACTACATTTACTAATTCTCTAGCCGTTCGTAATGACTAACGAAGAGGATGTATCTTTAAAAGTCAACTCTCTTGTCATGTCTTTGGTAATAAATCTATTTTGTCGTCACTGACCATGTCGTGGCAGCTCGTGGTACTCGACTCCCGGGAAGAGTGCGTTGACTTCGTTGTTGTGGTGCGGCGGGCAGCGCGCCGCTTTGCACGGCGGGGTGAGGTTGGCGGCGCCGGCGCTGGCTAGGAAGGCTGGTAGTGGCGGTGGCGGCATGCGCAGGATGCTGTCCGGCGGCGGACCCACCGATAGACATTCTGACCCGCACGACATGTTGGTACTGAAAAGTTATAATGTAATAAATGAAGTTTATTAAAATTGAGACATTTTAGAAGTGATAACGATGTTGTGTGTTTATTGTGATATAAATCCATGATAACATTAATTTATCATAGCAAAATAACATTTAATTTAAATAAAAATAAATAATACCATAGTAGTAATAAAATGTCACTATTAATAAGTTAATGAGGAAATACAGATTCATTTATTATGTTCAAGAATTTCAGAATTAATTTCGATAAATTAGTAGAAAACAGAACTATTAATGTGAAAAGATGTTTAAGCAAATTTTTAGCTCTCATTAAATTTTAATTACGTTATTAGCGACATTAATTAATTATGCAATAAATTTGATAATGCTACTATACTTACGTGTATTTTTAAACAATTTTTTATACAAAAACACAGCACTTTACAACAGTTTCGAGTTACACTTGCACAGAAATTGGTACAGGGATGAACAGCGCAGACGCGAAACTTCACCACGGACATGCCAAACAATATTTTCAATCAGAATTATTCGATTACTTTGTTATTCATTGCCTGCAAAGTACTGAGGACAAAACAATGTACAGAGTAAAAATACGCAATGGATACGATTCATTTCGTTCGCTAGTAAGGGTTTTAGTACATAGTACAAAGTATTTTATTGATTCGCGCAAGCGCGGGAAAGGATTTTGCGACCCTTACATTATAGCACTCTGCTATACAGTTCAAGTGGGTGTCAAGTGTCGCATGCTATCCCTGTCTGCCATAAATGATTTACACTTGTGTGAAAGAGAGGGATGATTGTGTTTATGCTTTAACATTTCTATGACATTATTATGGCTTCTATTAACAATATTTTGTTTTTGATAAAGTTTTGAAAACATCTGTTTAAAATATTTCTTAAAACCAGAATCAGGGTGATTTATATTCTTAACTGTGTACCAACACATTTAAATAATATGAATATAGTAGTAATATGTATGAAGTATTATTATGAATATTTCGTTTTACAAAGACCAGTGAAGTAATTTATTAGTTCATGTATTACTGGAAGAAACTTTTTTATTTCTTAAAAAATAAAAAAAAACCCTGGATTAAAACTTACAACATGAAAATGAAGCTTATTGTTCTTATGGTGAAGATGCGATCGTCGGTGGGTAGGGAATGTAATTCTTTAACTATGGAATTTAAAACGTTTATCGATATCGACGGTATAAAGGAATTTAATTATGTTTTTACTCTTTTACAGAATGCTATCGCTTTGAGCTTGCGGGAAATTGAACGTACTCGTTAGTTGTTTTTTTTTATTCGAAACTTTTATTTTAAATGGAGAAAATTCTATTGATACGAACACAGATTAAAAAAAAGAAGAATCGTTTTGTTGTTTAATAATTTTAATAGTTAAGAAACTCTCCACAGTTAGATAATCATGTCTTTTAGTTTGTTTTTAATTTTTAATTTTGTGATGGGTGGAATTTAATCGAAATTTAAGAAAACCTTTCAATAAAATGCAAAAATCTAACCTTGTTCTGACAGTGGTAAGTGAAATTTTAATCCGTGACGTCATCGGTACAGAATTTAATTAGACGTCATTCCTGCAGAGGGCGCTGCGAGCGACGCTTTGACGTGCGCAAATTGAAAGCCTCTTTTACACCGACCGCAAATAAAGTGCACCAACATTTTATTTACAAGTACATTTTCATTATTGAAATGTCTTTGTATTTCTGCTATCAATAAAATGTCTATAGTTCTGATTTAAAATAACTTAGATTAAATATAAAACATTAGGAAAAAGAGTAGATAAATATTACCGTTCTATTTAAATTAATTTAATATTAAAGATATATTTAACTTCATACTAATCATAGTAATATTATAAATGTGAAAGTTTAGATGGATGGATGTTTGTTACGAGTTTGTAGCCTAAACGACTGAACGGATCTTGATGAAATTTGGTATAGATGTAGAGGATAGTCTGGAAGAACACATAGGCTACTTTCGTTTTTTTTTAAATTACACGCGGACAGAGTCGCAGGCGAAAGCTAGCATGATTCATAGTTACCACACTTGTATAACCTAAACAGGAATACAAAAATTTTCACCTGTTGCTCAAAAATATTAGTTCCATATTTTCTTATATTTGTCGCGAGAGGTTTTAATTTATGGTTATAATTTAGTGTGAGAAAGTCTAAAAAATTGTCTATTACCTAGAAGTGTATCCCCAACCTCATATTAACGGTCAAAATATTGATAGGGCGAAAGTCCATGACATTGAACTACAATCCTTCATTTAAATATTGTTATTTCTGTTATTTGCAGTGATTTTACCTTATCATAAAACTAAATTATAATAATAACATTAATATTAGGTAACAAATACGTATATAAAATTAGCTAAGTTATTATAAACGTATTGTATTTGAGAAGAATGCCGAAATGAAAACAAACATTGCATAAAGGGCGCCATTTCTCTGACGTCATCAAGATGGCTGCCCCATTGATGAGAAGTATGGCGTTTGGTGGCGTACTGCGCATGCCCGAGCTATACAACCATTGATAGAGTGTGAGGGCTTTTATAACATCAGATTTTCAAGTCTCTTTAAGTTGCATTCCTCGGTTCTCACTGCCGAAACCTTAATAGAAAACATCGTTATTTTAGTGTTTTAGACAAGCAATCTTTAGCGGTTATTGAGGATGTAGTTTCACCGTGGGGTGAAATAAACCACTATATAATAATAAAACAGTTTATTGTTTCACGTACACGGATACAAGTTAAGACGTACACGTAAACAATATAAACTAAGAAAACACGTAAACAAAATGGCGGGCGAGAGGGCAAACGAGCGAGGTGTCAGCACAGTGTAGCAGCGCGAGGCGACTGTTGGCCGGCCGGCGCGGCGCGGTGCATGATTCCGCATTTCGGACATTTTGCATCCGCGCCGCGGGCGGCGCTCTGTAGCGCGTTGCAATTGTATATAAAAATGTGGAGTGTGCGTGTTTGTTTGTACGTGTATAATATGTATTTTGTATGTGAATATATGAGATGTGTTTTGAGTATGTGATGTTGTGTTGTGAATGTGTGTGTGTGAATGCGTGAATGTAATGTTATATATTGTAAATAAATGATAAATAAATAAATGTAGTGTAATAGATAGATAGATAAATAAATATGTAAATAAGTACACTACATCACTCCCCCCCAGAGACCGTCACTACGGGCGAAAGTAGTCAGCAAAGCGAACGGTACGGCCTGAATGAGTCCTTTTGACCTCTTCTTGGGTATGCGCGTGAGGCGCTGAAGGAAGAGGGTTGGATGGGGAACGAGGGGAATGGGTGAATTTAGAAAGAGGAGTGGGAGAAGGAGTAAGACAGCGGACATGGTGGTAGATCTTTTTCTTAGAAGGCTTGTTGAAGTAACTAGGTGACGTGTTAATGTCACAACAAGGTGCCGCGTGAGAATGAGAGTTTGGAATGCT